GTGCAATTAGCAAATATATGAAATTATTACATTTTACTATTATTGCAACAACTATTTGTATGAACAAGAGAAATACCAAAAAGAAAAAATATTAAAATGTGGATTATCATTATTGTCAGCATGTTAGAATCACTCTCAAGACGATGAAATTCATTGTTATTCGAATCGCTCCGCTAGTGAATGAGCATTCTTCGATAGCTCAGTAATGAGCTTTCAGAAATCCTCGCAAAACCTCACTCTGCTTTAAAAAATCATGTTTTCAAGAAGTTTTAGCACTGTATAAGCGGCGATATATCTATTACTCACTATCATCATTCTATATTTCTCTCCATTCTCGAGCTCTTTTTCATTTTCATTCTTTGTTCCTCTTTCCATTTCACAACGGAGTAAAGAGCATTCATCAACTCCAACCTGATATTAATACAATGAATAGATCATTTGGATCACGCAGATGCCTGGCCATCGCTTCAATTCTCTCCGCATTGATGCAGGCATCTTCATCCGGTAGATTATTCGTTGCACCTTCGAAAAACTGCGTAACTATCCTCGCTCCGGATGGTCTGAAAACTTTCACTCTCATTTAGTTATAACAATAATAATTTCAACAATTTATCAATCATTCCAACAACTTTATGAAATTGTTATCATTGCGACTTTATAATCATAAAACATTATTATTAGCATTATCAATTTTTTGCTTATGACAATCGCCACGCCACCATCATGAAACTGAACAGATGATATATGTTTATCGTTACTGTTATCACTATCCTATACAGTGATCATTATTACACTATTATATGTGCTCATACTACTCATGGAATAAAATTCAGCAAATTGGCCAATCAAGTGACAACTGCAAACATTTTCGCAATTGTGTTTCTGGGCACACTCGCAATTCCCTCGACCACATGACCACCGATGGACGCCTCTGCTCCTTGCACCATACCCAGGGCTGCCTTACCGACCGCTGCCAGATGCACATTGTGATTCAACTGATATATGCGTTGACCAACACTCAACTGTGATCCGGTCACTTTCAGCGCCTTCAAGTGAAACATTTAAGCATTTTCTCATTCGATTCATTTGACAGCATTGATTACCACCTCATTGGAACGGAGAATTATTTTAGTCATTACTATTACAATAATCATTATCAATACTATTCTTTGATGTCATTGTTATCGTTAATTAACATCAACGTTGTCTGCATTAAGTGTATCGCTTCTTCAAACTGCTCTAGATTTGTAACAGAAACTGTGATAAATTGCAGAGTGTTAGTTGTGAAACTGATTGACGTTCACCACGATCACTAATGAATGCGATTAATGAGGAGGATTTGCTTTTGACTGATTAAAAAATTGTATCATATCAGTCAGTGTGATGCATAATTGGTTTAGTTTTAATCTGTCATAGCGATATCAACATCTACTCATGCCTTTTTAGCGATTGATGGAAATTGTTAACTATTCTCCCTGAACATTCATTGAATTCAAACTCCCTTATAAGAATTTTCATTCTTTTTCAGGCGCTATAGTCACTCTCATCTCTTTTACACGTTGAAAGGATGCTCTTGTTGACATTTTCTCATTCATTCCATGAAACGTTCAAAACAATTTCTCATTCTTGTGTGCATACTCTCTCTTATTGTTGACTGACTGTTCTATTGTTAAGGTGGTAAATATCAGGAGGAATGCCTCGTTCAGATAGATTACTGCAATAATTGTTTGAGCGATATGATATCAATAATGTTTGTGTGCGACTAAAGATGATAAGCAATGAGAATATGAACAAAATACTCTTGCAAATGATAACTTCCAAAGCTTAAAGCTCTCAAATACTTCCCACTGATTATGAGCTAAACGAACGACCNCAACGATAGGTAAAGTAATGAGGAATAAGTGGAGCACTTACAGTTCTAACTCTTTCATAAGGTTGTACCGCTGAGATAGCAGCACGGAAAGCTCGAACACATACGAATCGCAGTTCATTCATATTGCTTAATGCAGATTGTTGTTGTTGCTGCGCTGATGTTGTGCTACCTGAATCAACACAACGCTGATATTACTCTCAAAACTCGCACAATAACTCAACGACTTTTGATCACTCTTTTGGAGTAATCCAACGAAATCACTTCCCAATCGCTTCATTACGACATTAAATCCTATTCAAGTGGAACAAATCTGCAATCATTCACTTCAAAAACATCCCATCCACTAAATTGCATTGAAGATAGATCAGCACGATGGCAAAGATAACAACTGAATTGATTGACCGAATGGAATAAACTCTTAAAATTCTGAATGAATTCAAATGGTTGGTTCAAATGGTCGTCTGCATGATGCTAGTCGGTAGTTGAATTGCATTGAATCGAATTGAAATGAATTGAATCAAAAGTTAGCGATAGATGATGC